TCCCATATAGCAAAATATAGGCTCCTTTCTTTGAGGCTCATGATCTAGGAGACTTCACCTTCAGCATCTGCTGGAGTATGTACCTGGTGACTGATGATTTATATCTAAGCATGCTGCCTGTTTTGTTGCCTGAAGTTCAGACTCCTGTGCAAAATGTCCTTACCTTCCTAAACCTGGCCAGAGTACAGAAGCCAGTAGAACAGAATTGATTTCAGCTCAACCCTCCACAAATGCTGACTGCCACAAGGTGGCCCTACAACAAAAATGGATTCTAACCTTGCAGAATTGATGGTTGATAGCAAGTGTCAGATTCTTGGTCTTCAGAAATGAGAATTTCTCTGTTCTTTGGAGAATACAAAGGAATGGTCTTGGAAGTTCTGCTTGGATATGGGCTATGTTTCTATCACCATTGTATTCCCATGGCTCATCCTATAGTCCATATCACAAATGTTTAATACACAAATGATCAGGAAAACTGTGCATCAGCTAGTTATGGCATACACACCTGTAATCCCAGCACTCAGGAGACTGAGTCAGGAAGATCACAAGTTCAACAATAGTATAAACTAGGGAAAGCCTTATCTCAAACAACAACAAAACATATCTCCTTTAGCAAAGACGTAAACAAAAAGATAGAAATCAGTTATTAAGTAGTTATAGTATTAAGTAGTTGTGAGATTATGAGTATATTGCATCTTAATTTGACCCCTTCCATTTTTCCCCCTATTCTTCTCCAAGTTAGTTTGTTTTTTGTTCAAGACCAGGACTGAAACTTGCTGACACTTGCATTTGTGCATTGGCTGGTGCTCTACTACCTGAGCCATGCCTCTAGTCCCCCAACTCAGTTTTTAAGTTTTCCCCTGGTACTGTCCAAGAACATCAAGGCAGAGCAACAAAGAGAGAAAATAAAATTTAATGGCAAAGCCATTGTTTCCCCTGGTGATATGTGGTATCTTGTGGCATGTTGAGGTATTTTGCATGCTCTCTGAGAAGGCATCGGGTTAGTGGTTTTCTTGTCATTATTTCATGAGCTTCCATGGCTATTTTTCCCATATCTTCATTTGACAAATGTGTACTGCACCAGACCCTGTCCAAGGCCTTGAAGACACCATGATCAGCAGATGGATGGGATCTCTGTACAGGGAACGTTCTTATAGAACTCCCCTGGACTGTTGGACTACAGGCCCCACCATTTACTTAAGGTAAATCCCCCCATGGTTCTTTCATGAGAATACTTCTAAAAGGAAAGATGATAGGTATAAGCCAGGCACTGTGGCTCCCACATGTAATCTAGCTACTCAAGAGGCTATGATCTGAGGATTGAGATTCAAAGACAGCCTGGGATATGAGATTTGTGTCTCCAGTTAACCATCAAAAAGCCAGAAGTAGAGTTGTGACTTAACTGGTAGCGCGACAGCCTTTAGTGATAAAGCTAGCAGACATTGCCCAGGCCCTGAGTACCTGCACCAAAACATTAAAAAATGATGAGTACAAATCTAAGTTGCAGTATATCTGATGACTGGTGATTTATATCTAAACATGCTGCCTGTTTTGTTGCCTGAAGTTCAGACTCCTGTGCAAAATGTCCTTACCTTCCTAAACCTGGCCACAGAGTACAGAAGCCAGTAGAACAGAATTGATTTCAGCTCAACCTTCCACAAATGTTGACTGACACAAGTGTGGCCCCACAACAAAAATGGATTCTAACCTTGCAGAATTGATGGTTGGGTGCTTTTGCTCTTATCAACTAGTAGTGGTGCAGCAAAGAGATGAGTGCTCTTTTCCTGGAGAGCAAGTGAATGTGTATATTACTATCAGGAAGAAAGCTAGCAATCTTCCAGTGTTCTAACTCTGCCCATGATGTACTTCTATAGAATGCTTACACAAATAAAAAGGATGGGTGTGCTGAGATGACACTGCAGCATTATTTAATGAATACAAAATGATCAGCATTAGCATAGGATACTATGCCATTCTTTTAAAAAATTAAGAATTGCCAGGTGCCAGTGGTTCACGCCTGTAATCCTAGCTACTCAGGAGGCTGAGATGTGAGGATCATGGTTCAAAGCCAGCCTGGGCAGAAAAGTCCATGAGACTCTTATCTCCAATAAACCACTAGAAAACCAAAAGTGGTGTTGTGGCTCAAGTGGTAGAGCGCTTGCCTTAAGCTGAAGAGCTCAGAGACAGCACGCAGGTCCAGGGTTCAAGTCCCATGACTGACCAAAAAAAACCAAAAAAAACATAAATAGTAACTTCTTGCTCTATTGCCTCTGAGGATTGAGAATTTGGACATGAAGGCTTCTAGGTTTGGGGTTTTGTTTTGTTTGTACAGGTACTGAAGATTAAACTTACTAACTTGCACTCAGCATTTTTACGCAAGGATGGTGCTCTATGGCTTGAACCTCATCTCCACTTGCAGCTTCTTGCAGGTGAATTAGAAGTGTAAGAGTTTCTTGGACTTTTCTGCTCAGCTGGCTTTGACCAATAATGCTTGGCTTTCTCACAAGTAGCTAGGGTTACAGGCATGAACATCAGTTTTAAAAGTATGCCATAACCTTAGACAAATCTGTTTTTGCCTTTGTGAACCTGTTATGTCTTCTCTCAGAGGAGTTCTTAGAAAAATCCTGGAGCATTATATAATGGTAACCCCTATGTACATTACCTTTCTTATATAGATTTTAAAAGGGATTTTTAAAAATTTATTTATTTTTGTCAGTCGTGGTACTTGAACTCTGGGCCTGGACGCTGTCCCTCAACGCTTCAGCTCAAGGTGAGCACTCTACCACTTGAGCCACACTGCCACTTCTGGTTTTCTGGTGGTTAATTGGAGATAAGAGTCCCATGGACTTTCCTGCCTGGGCTGGCTTTGAACTGCGATCCTCAGATCTCAGCCTCCTGAGGAGCTAGGATTACAGGAATGAGCCATCTGCACCAAGCAAAGGAAAATTTTTTGAAAAGACAAAAAAGCCGGTGGCCAGGTGCCAGTGGCTCATGCCTATAATCCTAGCTACTGAGGAGGCTGAGATCTGAGGATCACAGTTCAAAGCCAGCCCGGGCAGAAAAGTCCATGAGACTCTGATCTCCAACAAACCACTAGAAAACTGGAAGTGGTGCTGTGCTCAAGAGGTAGAGCACTCGCCTTGAGCTGAAGAGCACAGGGACAGCGCCTAGACCCAGAATGCAAGCTCCAAGACTGACAAAAAGAAAAAAGAAAAAAAAGCATGTGCTACAGGCCTATCATACTTGCAGCAGGTAGCGTCGGTCCAGATGAGTTGGCTGTGAAGATCACCAGGCAGAAACACGCCAAGAAGCATCTTGGCTTCTTTCGCAACAATTTTGGAGTCCACGAGCTGTACCAGATTCTGCTGGATGGCACTTTCTGTCAGGCGGCGCTGAGGGGCCGTGTCCAGCTGTGGGAGCAGCTGCCCCACTACCTTATGGGGTAGACGCAGCTGTGTACCACCAGATGTGTGTTGAAGGAGTTAGAAGCATTGGGAAAGGACTTATACGGGGCAAAACTCATTGCACAGAAATGCCAGGTTTGAAATTGTCCCCATTTCAAGAACTCAGTGACTGGATCAGAATGTCTGCTTTCCATGGTGGAGGAAGGGAATCCTCACCATTATTTTGTAGCAACCCAGGATCAGAATTTATCTGTGAAGATAAAGAAGCAGCCTGGAGTGCCTCTCATGTTTATTATTCAGAATATTATAGTCTTGGACAAACCTTCTCCCAAAACAATTGCCTTTGTAAAATCTGTCCAGTCAGGTCAGCTTGTCTCCATGCATGATAAACAAAATATCAAGCTGCTCAAAGAGGAGCAAGGTTTAGTGAAAAATCCTGAACAGAGAAGAAGAAAAAAGCGCAGGAAAATAAGTGGCCCCAATCCTCTTAGCTGTTTGAAGAAAAAGAAAAAGGTCCTAGACTCAAAATCACCTGCTTCTGACAAGAAAAGGAAAAGGAAAATGATCGGCAACAGATCTACCTTAAAAGTACTTTCTGAGAAGCAGAATGCAGAAGGACAATGAGTGGTTTAGATACATTTAAGACATTCAGATGTGAAAATGAATTTACTTTTGGGACTGCAGAGAAGTATTTATGATGAAAGACTATAAAGTTATTTTATAAACAATTATAGTCCATATGCTTTTGGTTAAAATTACTTCTAAAATAAAAATCATTTGCTTTAGATGTGAAAAAAAAATAGTTGCAGCAGGAGGCTGAGATATGAGGATCATAGCTAGAAGCCAGCCCTGGTAGGAAAGTCCTTGAGAGTCTTATCTCCTTTTAACCATCAAAAAACTGGAAGTAGAACTGTGGCTCAAGTAGTAGAGCACCAGCCTTGGGCAAAAATGCTAAGGAACTGTTCCAAGCCCTGCATTCAAACTGCAGTAATGGAGAAAAAGCAAGCAGAAACTAGTGCTGGAGTTGTAGTTCAGTGTAGAGTTCTTATCATAGCACTACTCTAGTTCCTTTCCCTAGTGGCTTATCATTGAGACCTCTGGCAAGTTCAGTTCTTAAGAGTTCCTCTCTAAATTCGTCTTTGGGTCACTTCCTTATTGAAGGCAGCTAGATCACATAAAATTTGCATTACATGAATTCATTTTCTTTCCTCCTGTTGACCTGTACAATGTCCATTTAATTTTGAGGCTCCGTGGAAATTTCTAAAATGGCATGGAGGTCAGTTCTGCTCCCCTATATGGGAATGGCATTTTCAACAGAAAACAACTACAACTGGATTTAATTTTGGTTTGTGTATGCACATGTGTGTATGTGTGTCAGTATTGGGAGCTTGAACTCAGTGCTTGGGCATTGTCCCTTACATTTTTTGTTCAAGGATGGTGTTCTACCACTTGAGCCTCAGTTCCACTTCTGGATCTTAGTAGTTCACTGGAGATGGGAGTCTCATGGACTTTCCTTCCCGAGCTGGCTTCTACCTGCAATCTGCAGATTTCGGCCATCCTAGCTAGGATGATAGGCAGTGCCTGGCTTAATTTGAGTTTTATTCTAAGTAAATAAAGCAATGAGCTAAAGGGCAGAAGCCAAAAAGCAGGATTGGTTTTAATTATCCATCACTACACCTGTCTGTCTTTCATACCTCCTCCCAGAAAAGGTGGGTTAACAATCTTATACAAAGAAATATAGAAAAAAAAAAGAGTTAATGCAGGGAATAGATTTGTGGGGTATGGGAAAAGATGGTCTCTCCACCCTGTCTTCTGAAACTGCCTCAGTCAGCACGGTTCATTGCGGATGATTTTAATATCATGACCATCCTCCCTATGAATTGAACAAGCAGAAAAATGATATTACCTACCAGACAGATACCTTCTCATTATCTGCATTAGATTACTTCCAGGCTACAGTTACTTAATCGTGTATTTAAGAAATATCTAGCCAGGTGCTGGTGGCTCATGCTTATAATCTTAGTTACTCAGGAGGCTGAGGTCTGAGGATTGTGGTTCAAAGCCAGCCCCAGGAAGAAAGTCTGTGAGATTCTTATTTCCAATGAACTATTTAGAAAAAGCCAGAAGTGGTGCTGTGGCTCAAGTGGTAGAGCGCTAACCTTGAGTACAAAGAGGCTTAGGGACAGCGCTCAGGCCCTGAGTTCAAGCCACAAGACTGGCAAAAAAGAAAAGTGAAAAGAAAAAAAGAAGTATCTAAGAACACCACCAATATCTAAGAATATCTAAATATCTGAAGAATATCACTGCCCCATGCATCATGTTTTTCCTAATCCTAAGGAACCAGGCCTAGTCTCCTAAGAAGCTCAAAGAGAAGATTTGAGTGAGAGAATGGACCTTGCAATGCCAAGCAGCATACCTGTTCAGGTATGCTATATGAACAGCACAGTAGACACAGTACTGAGCACCCTATTGTGTGCACTTTAATAAGTGCTGGTTCCTCATTGCTGTTACCATAGAACTATAACTCCACTTCTGGGTTTTGGGTGATTAAAGAAAGAATCTCGGGGCTGGGAAGGTGGCTCAGTGTAGAGTGCTTGCCTTGCAAGAATCTCATGAACTTTCCAGCCCAGGATGGTTTTTGAACCAAGACCCTCAGACCTCAGCCTCCTAAGTAGTTAGGATTACAGGCATGAGCCTGTAATAATGCCCAGTTTCCACATCCTCTTAACTTAAAAGAAAATGAAACAACCCACAGAATTTAACTCTCCAATATTGTTTTTTGTTCGTTGGTTGGTTGGTTGGTTGGTCATGGAGCCTGAGCTCTGGGCCTGGGCACTGTCCCTGAGCTCTTCAGCTCAAGGCTAGCACTCTACCACTTGAGCCACAGCACTACTTCTGCCTTTTTCTGCTAATGTGATGCTGAGGAATCAAACCCAAGGCCTCATGCATGCAAGGCAAGCATTCTACCCTGAGCCACTGTCCCAGCCCCTTCAATATTGTTTTAATTTGTGTGAGTGTACGTGACCTACTGCTGTGGATTGAACCCCGGGCCTCACGCATGCTGCCAAGACAAATGTTCTACCACTGTGCTACACTTCCCTAGCCTCTATTCTCTCTTTCTTCTCCTTCCTTTCCTCTTCCTCTTCTTTCTTTTCTTATCTCCCTAATTCTCTTTCTCTCTTATATTGATATAGTATCTTATTACATTACCCAGACTAGCTCAAACTCAGTGTGTAGCTCAGGCTGGCTTTAAACTAAGATCCTTCTCCCTCAGCCTTCAGAGTGCTATACTGGGATTACATGAATGTGCCACCAGCTCTCAATACACTCTTAACAACTTTTGGCTTTTGGCAGCCCTAGGATTTGAACTCAACTCTTTGTGCTTACTAAGAAGTTTCTCTACCACTTGAACCATTCCTCAACTTTAAATATGTTCTCAATGGAAGAAAATCATGCTTTCATAGATAACAAGTTGCCTTGATTATGTGGTCTACAGTTGGTGAATCACACATTTCACTATCTTGGACCTGGAAAACAGATCTTCTTAAATGTCAGTCTGAAGACTGAGAAAGAACTACTTGTGTGACATGTGAATCTAATATATGAGGAGTCCCCTTTTTGGAAAGTGACTCTTTCCAAGAAAGAAAAGAAGAAAACTGTGGCTCAAGTGACAGAACACTTGGCTAGTGAGCAAGAAGTCTCATGTCCAAATCCCAAGGCCACCAATAATACAAAAAAGTGCAAAGAAACAAAACTTAGTCTGTAGCTTTAAAATAATGTTACACAGCTGGGTGCTGGTGACTCATATCTGTAATCCTAGCTATTCGGGTGGCTAAGATCTGAAGATCTCAGTTAAAAGTCAGCTTGGGCAGACAAATCTAAAAGACTCTAATTTCCAATTAGAAAAGCCATAAGTGGAGGTGTGACTCAAGTGCTAGAGCACCAGCTTTGAACAAAAAAAAAAGTCAAGTGAAAGCATGAGGTCCTGAATTCAAGCCCCATTACTGCCACAGATAAATACCTAGATAGATAGATAAAAAATCATGTTACCAGATTTTCAAGCACAGAGTACATTCATTGGCATAAGTGGCCATGTCACTTCCACAGACTGGGTTAAGGTCCCTGGGGCATCCTGGCAGCCTATACTGAGCACAATTTGGCTAGAAAAGAGAAAAGGATAATGTGATTAAAGGGTGACCTGAAGACTGGCACCAGTGGCTCATGTTGCAATCCTAGCTACTCAGGAGGCTGAGACCTGAGAATGATCATTCAAAGCCAACCTGGGCAGCAAAGTCTATGGGACTCTTTAATTAATCACCAAAAAGCCAAAAGTGAAGCTGTGTCTCAAGTGGTAGAACATTAGCCTTGAGTAAAAAAACTAAGGGACAGTGCCCAGGCCCTGAGATGAAGCCAGTACCAGCACACCCCAAGGGGAAAAAAAGGGTGGGATGGGGAGAAAGAGAGAGAGAGAGACCCTCTTCCCGTCTCTAGTTTGAATTGTAATTTCTGAAGGGTACAATATGTAAAAAGTGCTCAATAAATACTAGTGGATTTCAAAGAAAATCAGAACACTAAAAAAATCTGCTGGGAGTAGAGATGTGAGGTGTGGTTCAAATGATAGAGTTAGGACCTGAGTTCAAGCCCCAGTACACACACACACACACACACACACTCTAAGGTGACAAGTCAGTAGAACAATACAAGTGGTTTCTGACTTACCGTTCTATATACTGGAGAAGGTTGAGAAGGATATACGGGCTGCATAAAAGCTGCATAAAGAAAACAGACATTTCAAAGCATGTATTAAAGTGAATTGTTGTTAAGGTTTTAGAAAATGAGGTATCTAGTCTGTCTATATCTTCTTTCCCTCTGATGCCTAGCATCTTTGAACTTCATTCTATGCCGTCTAAAAAATAAACGTAACAGGAACAGATACCTAAATATGCTCCCAACTGTAGTTTCGGCCCCAGAATGAACTCACTTTATCCACTAGCATACTTTCACTCATGCAAGTTTTCTTTTCCTTCTCACTGAACTGTTTTCTCCAATCCAATTTCCTTGGGAGGGAATCCAAGAACATCTTTAGAGCTCCAGGCAAGGCCTCCACACTCCTCTGCTTATCTTTCTACGAGAATGAAGGAACATTCAGGACAGCAAGAAACTAAACCACAAAGACTACTGCCAGCACATCCAGATTATACCAAAGGCCACCATCCAGCCCCAAGTCATGCCTCAGCGTGTACACCCAGAAGCCCAGGCTGCTGGGCTGTGTGTGTGTGTGTCTGTGTGTCTGTATGTGTTCCGGTCCTGGGGCTTGAATTATTTTTGTGTGTATGCTGGTCCTGGGTGCTGTCCCCAAGTTTTTTTGTTTGTTTATTTTTGCTTAAAGCTAGTTCTGTACCATTTCAACCACAGCTCCACTTCTGGCTGTTTGGTAGTTTATTGGAGATAAGAGTCTCATGGACTTTTCTGCTGCTGCTGACCCTCAAATCTCAGCCTCCTGAGTAGCTAGGATTACAGGTGTGAGCCACTGGTGCCCAACTATGGGCTTTCTTTGTGTGTGTGTGTGTGTGTGTATGTGTGAGTGTGTATGTGTGTGTGTGCGCGTGCGCGTGCGTACGCTGGTACTGTACATAAAAGTCTGATCTTCCAGGTCTCAGCCTCCTAAGTAATTACAATTATAGGTGTAAGCCACCAGCATCTGGGTGTGCTTTCCTTTAATAGCCAATTCTCATTAGGTGGCTCATGCCTATAAACCTAGCTGTCCTGTCAGGCTGAGACCTAAAGGGTCACAGATCAAAGCCAGTCTGAGCAGAAAACTCTTTGAGGCTGTCTCCAATTAACCAGAAGAATGCTGGACCAGAACTGTGACATAGTCATGGACCATCCATAAGCAAGAAAGATGAGCAAGAGTACCACGCTGTGATTTCAAACCTCAATACACACACACACACACACACACACACACACACACACACACACACTAGTTCTCCTCCCCATGACTATTTCCTGAAGCAAGTATACCACCCTCATTTTGCCTGGCACAACTAGTGAACCTTAATTTGTTTTTCATGACTGAGATCACGTGACCAATTTTTCAGTATCATAATTTTTCAGTATCATGAAGACACCCCATTTCTTTTCCCCTGGCACTTCTAACAGGCGCTTGAAAGAACATTTGGTTTACTTTGGGGTTTGGTTGAAGGATTCAGAAGCCAAGTTACAAAGATTAAGTGTGTAATTCTTATGGGTTTCTAGTAAGTCTTTTCCTCTGCAGATCAATAGTAAACGCAAAGCTTAACACTAGGGATTAGAGGTGTGGCTCCAATGATAGAGGTCCCCTACTGCGGGGACGGAGGAGCCAAGTGTCCTAAGTTCAAGCTCCAGTACCAACACAAAACGAAAAACAAAAACTTAACACTAGCTGTTACACTCAAGTGCATTTTAAGGCGGGTGTCAAGGTGGCTGTGAAGTCCTTGCTCACAGGATTCCTAGCTCCCAGTGCTAGCACCTCCTCGGCGCCCTCCGGCCTGGCACCGGATCCCTTGCATTAAGGAAGCCAGAGGAAGCAGCACGATGCCCCCAGAAGGAGCTGGCAGGGAACCCCAAGCAAGATCGCTAGCTCTTTCTCTGCCCTCCCTCCCAGTTCTGGCTGCTGACCCCTCTGGGGGAACCGCCAGTAACGGGCGTTCGGTACAGTCGCCGGAGCTGCCCAGAGCTCGGCTACCCCACGCAGCCGATGTGTGGCGAGTCCCTCAGGGGGCTCCTTGGCGGGGGTGCCCATCTCCAGGCCCACTAACGCGCATTACCGGCCAAATCCCCGGCCAGCATCAACAGCATCAGGCGCAGCACCGCCCCCGCCATCCTGATTGCCCCGCCGCCCCTTGGACCTCTTCCTCGCGCGCGGGGACGCCACAGCTCGGCACCCAGGGGACGGGACGGGCGCGCGGGGGTCGGGACTGCATCGCGCCCAGAGGACCAGACGGGCGAGGTGAGACGCGACGGCACCGCGCCCGGGGTGGGGGGGGGGTGGGGGGACGGGACCAGCGCGCAGGAGAGAGGGGGGAGGGGGATCGGGACCTCCCGGCACCCTGGGGACGGACTGGCGCGCGGGGACGCGAAGGCCCCGAGCGGGGTTCGGGGTGGGGGGAGGAGACAGGACAAGCGCGCGGGGGTCGGGACGGTACCACCACGCCGAGAGGAACGCGCGACGCGGGGGGTGGGCTGGGGTGGGGGAAGGACAGGACGGAAGGATGGCTGGGCCCTGAAGAGAACGAGGGCGGGGGAGGCACAGCTGGCGGGGTATCCCTCCCTCCACTTTCCCACTCCCTGCTCCGCAGCCGCAGGACTGCAGAGAGCGAGGAAGAGGCACCGCTGCCCCGCACGCGAAGACGGTGGCGATCAAGACAAAGCAGGCGGCGGATGGGGACTGGAAACAATTTCTGCCCCAAGGGGCCCAAGGGGATCATCAACAAAGCGACCTAAGGTGCAGTGTCCGTAACTGACTTGCAGACTAGCCACTCAGCGGCGGCCCTGGCTTCCTGCAATCATCTGGCCCCGCCCCCTGTTCCTCCCCGAAGCAGCTCCAGGCTTCCCAGCCCTTCAGGGACCGTGGCCAGGACGCCCTGCGGCGCACTCCAGGGTTTTCCCTGGCAAAACCTGCTTGTTGTCAGCGCAGACCCAGAAAACCACTCGGACACACAGTCTCTTGATTTGTACTTTGGCCTTGAATTTGATCTATGCCCTTCCTGTCATGACAGGCTGGGTCACTTAGTCTACAACAAATGCAGCTGCTCATTTGCCATTCTTCTAGTTGCATGACAATGTGTGGGGATAGATTCACAATTAATAAAACATGTCGAGTAAGCAGCTATACTGAGGAATTAAAGGACATTTCTCTAGTAAGTGTAAAAAGAAATGTTTCACTTTGCTATTTTGTACACAAAACAGTTCACACCTGTAAGGTCTGCCCTAGTCAAGGAGGCCCTGTGCAGACACCTCCCTAACTTTTGGCTAAATTTCCACGCAGTATCTATTACCTGGGTAACTAGCACACGTGGAAGTAGTCACCCCCTCCTCCGGTTTGATCACATCCTGGGCTGCCCACCCATGCCTCCCATTGACCTGGAGAGGGTCCCAGGCCCTGAGGTCAATTCAGATCCAGTGTGGCCACACCTTTCCCCCACCTGGCCACACCTCTTCCCATTCCTGGCCTATGTAAGTCCTGGCCTGGAGTGGATCACCCCTTTTAGGTCATGCCTCTCCACCATGCACAGGAGCAGCAGTTCAGTAAAGAAACTGCTTTTCCTGCCTGAATTGTGCATGGTGTTCTCTTCATCAGCTACATAATGAAATCTACCTATTTCATATGCCTTATAATGTCTGATAATTTTGGTAAGGGGCAAAACTATACCATCTCTAGAGTGTAAAAAAGTCATGTAGACTCAGATTTTAGTTAAGAAAGAATATAAAAATAGGTTGTACAGTTTGTACCAGGCCTAGAGTAGCTTCTTCTCTTCCTCACTTTTTTCCTCTTTCTTTTACTTTCTTCCTTTTTCCTCTCTTTTCACTTCAAAGAGAAGGAATACTTTGCAAATTTAATTGGGGGGGGGGGGCTGGCAGTGCAATGAATGGAGTCACCACCCAGGGGAGTTTTATAATCCCAGCACTAAAAAGGTTGAAGCAGGAAGATCTTGTGTTGGAGGCCAGGCTGGGCTACATAGAAAGACCCTATCTGCCAGGTGCCAGTGGCTTGTACCCATAATCCTAGCTACTCAAGAGGCTGAGATCTGAGGACAGTGGTTCAAAGCTAGCCTGGTCAGGAAACTCCTTGTTATCCTGACATTCTCCTTTCCCGAGATTGGCCTACAAAGGGCCCTTTTGGTTCAGGCAGCTGATGACCAACTCCCTCCCTTTCACCTTGAAGTAACATTCTATTTAGTCAGTCACAGCCATAAATTGTAACCTCAGGGCCCCTTATCTACTATTCTGGCAGCTGCCACAAATCTTAGCTCACTATAATGGAATCTTCTGCTCTTACATACTTCATGAAATCCTGCCCTTAGCACCTCCAGATTATTAAGACCTCCTTAGATAAGCCCTTTTTCTCTTCCTCTGGTGAGAGAATTAGTCTTGTTATCCCTGCTGACAATAAAACCCTATTTCTATAATCCACCTGGTTTCTGGGCTGGTGCTTTCAACTCTTATCTCCAATAAACTGCCAAAAAAGCCGGAAGTGGGGCTATGGTTCAAGTGGTAGAGTGCTAGCCTTGAGCAAAAGAAGCTCAGGGACATTTCCTAGGCCCTGAGTTCAAGCCCCAGTTCCAGCAAAAAGATTAAACCCCCCCCCAAAAAAAACCAACAAACCCTTGTAGCTTAGTATGCTCCTTTCCTAGGCAACACTAGGCCCAACTTTACTTTGAAATGGCACTTCTTTGGGGCAGCTACCACCATATAGGGCAGCAAGATCTCCTTAGGGTGACCTTAGGTCTGAGCAGCTGCAAAACCCCTTATCTGTCACTTGGGCAACAGCTATAAATCCTAGCCCACCATGATGCAGCTCTGGTCCACATGTTCACACAGGGTCTCTGCCTCCTAACTTCATAGGTTATGTAGGTCACCTCAGACAGCAGCCAGCACTTCTCCTCTCTTATAAGAAGGGGTCTGGCCAGTCCCTTTACTGACAAAAACTTTCTTTGTTCTTTGTGCCTGGATGTCTGCATGGTTTTCTGGCAAAGTCTAATTTAGTCTAGCAAACTCTGTCCAAAATAAAAACAAAACATAAAATTACTGAAAGCTCTGGTGGCCAAGTGCCTTTATTCTAACTTACACCTGACTGTATGACATATCTATATCTGATATATATTATATATATATATATATATCTGATTATAGGATATATATGTATATATGTATACTGTATGATAAATATCATATTATATATACATACATATATATATAGTTAGTGTTTGTCCTATCAGGCTGGAACTTGGATAGCAGTTGAAGTTTCTTTTCAGTACTGGGGATCAAAACTAAGGCCATGTGCAGGCTAGGGCTTTTCCTCCAATTTTAATATTATTTATTATCTATTTATCTTTTTTTTCTGGTCCTGAGGATTGAATTCAGGGCCTAGATGCTGTCCCAGGGACTCTTTGTGCTCAAGGCTATCACTTGAGCTGCAGCTCCACTTCAGGCTTTTATTTATTTGTTTGTTTGTTTATTTATTGCCAGTCCTAGGGCTTGAACTCAGGGCCTGGGCACTGTCCTTGAGTTTCTTTTGCTCCAGGCTAGCACTCTACCACTTGAGCCACAGCCACAGCACCCCTTCCGGCTTTTTCTGCTTATGTGGTGCTGAGGAATGAACCCAGGGCCTCATGCATGCAAGGAAAGCACTCTACCACTGAGCCATCTTCCCAGTCCCACTTCAGGCTTTTTAAAAATTTTTTATTTGCCAGTCCAGGGGCTTGAACTCAGGGCCTGGCCACTGTCCCTGAACTTCTTTTTGCTCAAGGCTAGCAGTCTTCCATTTGAGCCACAGCAGCACTTCAGGCTTTTTCTGTGTATGTGGTACTCCATCACAAGCCACATTCCCAGCCAATTTCAGGCTTTTTTTTGATGGTTAATTAGAGATAAATTTCACAGGCATTCCTTCCCTCACTTGGCTTTGAACCGCAATCCACAGATCTTAGCTTCCTGAGTAGCTAGGATAACAGACAGATGTGAGTCACTGGTGCCCTGCTAATTTTTATTTTTATTTTTTAGTTCCAGTCCTGGCGCTTGAACTCAGGGCCTGGGTGCTGTCCAATATTTTCTTTTTCTTTTTTTTTTTTGTCAGTTATGGAGCTTGAACTCTGGGCCTGGGTGCTGTCCCTGAGCTCTTCAGCTCAAGGCTAGTACTCTAACACTTGATCCACAGCATCACTTCCCGTTTTCTGGTGGTTAATTGGACATGAGTCTAACGGACTTTCCTGCTCGAGCTGGCTTCAAACCAGGTTCCTCAGAGCTCAGTCTCTTGAGTAGCTAGGATTATAGGTGTGAGCCACTGGCACCTGGCCAAAGAAAATTATTTTCCCACTCAAAGTTAGCACTCTACCACTTGAGCCACTTGAGCTCTTTGGAGATAAAGGGTCACAGGACCTTTCCTACTGGGGCTAGCCTTGAACCATGATTCTAGATTTCAGCCTCCCTAGTAGCTACAATTACAGGCATGAGGCATGGGTGCTGGGTCTTTTTTTTTTTTTTTTTTAATGCTCATACTGGGGCTTGCATCTAGGGCCTGAGTTTTTTCACTAAAGGTTGGCATTCTCCCACTTGAGCCAGGCTTTTCTTCAGGCTTCTCTGGGGTGGTTAATTGGAGATATTTCATAGGTATTCTTTCCCTGGCCTGGCTTCAAATCACGATCTTCAGATTTCAGCCTCCTGAATAACTAGGATTACAGATGTAATATAGGCCCTAAGTTTGCAACTCCATTTTAGAAAAGTATCCAAGGCAGACTACCTTCTTTACCCCTGTAATCCCAGAGTAATTCCTCCACCAAAATAAGGTTTTGCTAGCTCAGTAAAGCCACATTTAAGGACTAAATTTACTTTTTAATTATCTTTAAATAGTTGTACAAAGGGGTTTCAATTCAGCATGTCAATTCATGTGTACAGTGGGTCTTGTTTTTTGTTTTTGTTTTTTTGATACAAGGTCTCACTGTGATCCTCCGGCCTCAGCCTCCTGAGTGCTGGGGTCACCAGCATGAGTCACTACCCATGATGCTGGGTCTTCTTAATCTTTGTTCTAATCTTTTTTAGAATAGAATGAAACTGTATCTTTATTCTAATTGTTGTAAGACATATTTCCGGATACATTTTCTTCCTGTAGCTCCCAAGATGATTACATTTCCCCCATTGACAATTACAAGGCATTTTCCTGCAGAAGCTTAAAACCAGCTAAGGATAGTGATGGATGGAGACTTCAATGAG